AAGTTGTATATCTGGTTTAATACTTCTGCAGTCATTCAGCCTCAGCTCCTGTTTACTCTGTGAGGTTTCAGATTTATCATTTTTTTTTGTCTTTTTTTTTTTTTACCGACCGGTAACGGGATCGCAATCCTTGGTGTTGCGCCTGCACCGCGCTCCGCCAGTGAGCGGGAACCGGTCTCCACATGGGATCCGAACCGTCGGCGGGAGCACCGCCGCGCTCCCAAGCGGTGCACTCTCCAGTGCGCCACTGGGCCGGCCCAGATTTGTCATTTTTATCGGCGGGAGCACCGCCGCACTCCCAAGCGGTGCACTCTCCAGTGCGCCACTGGGCCGGCCCAGATTTGTCATTTTTACTGGCACCAGGAGAAGTCTTTCTTTGTTGTTAACCTCAATTGTATACTAAATGCTTGTGTTATGTTTTTTCCAGCACTATTCTATGTGAAGAATGAAAAGGGGAAATAGCTTTGCCAGACACTCTGCTAGATTGTCTAGAAGTCAGTATAGGCTTTAATTTACAAAACATCATCATTTCTTTAACAATGAAGAAAAAGGTAAAAGTTGGGGTATACGTGGATAGTTCAAAAAGTTCATGGAAAGATCCATATTATCTTTCAATTTTATTTTTTCACAAATTATTTGAAGCATTCTAATAAAGGTCAGAATCAGACATTCAGGGTAAAACCTATATTCTGTGTTTAGATGTGAAAAGGAAAAAGCAAATTTGTGATTTCTTGATGCTCTTCTTACTGTGGGATTTGAAATTTGCACTCTTTGTGTATGAGGTATATGGATAAATAAAATGTTATTTATTTGCATCTTTATTCAGGGACCTTTGGACTTTTAAAAATTTATTGGTATCTAGTCTTCTAAAAGAGATAATACTGCTTCTAAAAATGACCTGACTTTCATTTATGAAGTTGGCAAGCTTTCTTAATAGTAACTTGAGACATTATTTTTAACTATTTATTTTTTTGATCCAGATTAGAAGGCAGCGTTCACACGTACAGCAGCAAGTAAGTAAATAAGAGATTGTTTTTAAGAGGCATGTTGAACATTAAGAATGAATTGATAATCACAATTAATTTTTAGATATTTTTTGAACAACCTCAATTGGTAAAGTAATGTATTGAAATTGTGACTAAGAATATATAGTAATTTAGTTTCTAATAAATTAATTCTTCCTTCATTTAATAAATGTTTACTGGAAGTTTACTCTGAGGAAACAAGGAATAAAATAGCTGTCTCTAATAGAAGATAGAATATGTGTTATTAGTCAAGAAAAAAATATAGAGTGCCTAGAAGTTACCCAACCTGGTTTATATTAGTACACTACTTTGTTAAACAAGCAAATGCCTGAAATTTGATGGATTGTGACAGAGCTAATGAATCTAGATATATAAATTTCAGTAGTGATTATGGGTTGGGGAGAACCAATTACATTGACCTAACTTTTCTTTCTTTCTTTTTTAATCAACAACAAATAGCCATTTGTTCCTATTAATGTTTCTTAACCATAAACCTAGTTCTCATTGTTTTATAACAGCCCATGAGTTGGACTCAGTATTTGCTTTCATGTGAAGACAGATGCATTCTTCAATTTTAGAAAATTCCTAGACTTTATCTCTTTAAATTTTGACTCTCCTCTATTCTAAATCCCTTGAAATCCCTTCATGTCTTTTAACTGGTATTCTAGCTAACTGGTATATCTAGTATTCTGGGTGATCTCTCTAAACAATTTAAAAATCATTAAGTCTTTTATTGGCTCCATTATTTCTTTTTTAATATGTAATTAAATATATTTTATTTTTTAAGTGTAAAATTAAATGGGCTTTATTTCTTTTTTTATTGAAACATAGTTGATTATACATATTTGTAGGGTACACAATCACTAACCCTCTACCCCCTTTCCTTCCTCTAGTAACCACAGTTCTGTTCTCTCCTTTTGAAAGCTCAGTGCATTATTGTATTGTGATTGCTCTTTCTTTCTTTCTTTCTTTGTTCCCACTTATGAGTGAGGACATGTGATATTTCTCTTTCTGTGCCTGGCTTATTTCACTTAACATAATTTTCTCCAAGCTCATCCATGTCGTTGTGAATGGTAGAATTGTATTCTTTTTTTAAATGCTTTTTTAAAATTGGTATATATACACAATATTCCATTGTATATATATATATATATACCACATTTTCCTTATTCAGTCATCTGTTTATGGATATTTAGGTTGGTTCCAAATCTTGGTTATAGTAAATAGAGCTGCAATAAACATGGGAGTGCAGGTATCTCTTCGACATGATGCTTTCCAGTCCTCTGGGTATATACCCAGTAGAGGGATTGCTGGATCATATGGTAGCTCTATCTGTAGTTGTTTGAGAAACCTCCATAATGTTTTCCAAAATGGCTGTGCTAGTTTATAGTCCCACCAGCAGGGTAAAAGTGTTCAACTTTCTTCATATCCTCACCAGCATTTGTTATTCTCTGTCTATTTGACAATAGCCAGTCTAACTGGGGTGAGATAATATCTCATTTGATTTTGAGGTCTTATTGATAAAGTCTTTGCCTTTAGAAAGAAAGGAAGAAAGAAAAAAGAAAGAACAATCACAATACATTGAATAATACATTGAACTTTCAGAAGGAGAGAACAGAACTGTGGTAAGAATTTGGCTAATGAACACAAAGAATGATTACATATTGTAATGATGAATATGCTAATTATCCTGATATGATCATTGCATATTGTGCACAGTATTGATAGTCAACTCTGTAACTCTCATGTATGTATTATCAATTCTGTTTCAGTTAAAATATATGTAATATGAATCTTTCCGTCCAAAAAAATGAAGAAAATCAATGAGAGCTATCAGAAACCTTAAGCACACAAACATCTGAACCATGGGTGTTTTGGAGGGGGAGAAGAAAGGAAAAAGCATTGAGAACATATTCAATGAAATAACAGTAGAAACTTCTCAGGTATTGAGAGAGATATGGACCTTAGATCCAAGAGGCCCTCAAAGATCCCCAAACAGATTCAATCCAGAAAGGTTCTCCTAGACACATATAGTCAAATTGTAAAAAATCAAAGACAAGGAGAGAATCCTAAAAACAGTAAGAATAAAAGCATCATGTCACTTATAAGGGAGTCCCCATCAGACTAACAGCAGATTTCTCAGTAGAAACCTTATAGACCAGAAAAGAATGGGATGATATATTCAAGGAACTAAAAGGAAAATAACTACCAGCCAAGAATTCTGTACTAGGAATGGTTATTTTTTAGAAATGAAGGAAAAACAGCACATTTCCCAGGCAAACAAAAATTGCAGGAGTTCACCACCACATGACCAGCCTAAGGAGAAATCCTCAAGGGAGTCTTGCATCTGGAATCCAAAAAACAATAATCACCACTATGAATGCATGAGAAAAAACAAACCCACTGCTAGAATAAATGTGCAAACAGGAAAGAGAAAGAAACTATATCTCATCACCCCCCAAAACCCAACAAATACCAAAGGCAAACAATCAAACAGAAAGAAAGGAACAAAAGATATTTAAAACAACCATATGAAAATCAATAAAATGCCAGTAGTAAGAAAATACTTTTCAGTAACAACTCTAAATGTAAATGGATTAAATTCCACACTTGAAAGACATAGATGGGCTGAATGGATTTTAAAAGCAGCTCTTTTATTTTTTGTTTAATGAATTATGTTCCTTTTAACCTCTACTGAAATTCTAAACATTATTTTTTGGTGTCTTTGTTGTATTTTTTTTAGCTTGCTCTGGCTGTTGACATTACATTTTAGTAGCTTTTTTTCTTTGTAAAGTCATCTTAAGTGGCAATAATTGTCTCATGAAAATTTTGTATGTACTGCTTTACAGAAACCTCCTTGTCCAGGTTATTTCAAGTTTTGCCCTCCTAAGTAATGCATTTTTATAACAATTTTTATGCATGGGGTTCTAGAATTCATGGTAAGCATGAATTGATGTCCTGAACCTATACTTCATAAAGGTTTAAGTTTTCTATTTCTCTATGTGATGTTTTTATATCTATATCCTAAGCCAATTTAAGTGCTAAGGGTTCCTGTGTCTCTAGGTGATCCTTTTCCATCCACATTTCTAAAGTTATTTTCCTGATGCATCTCAATGTCTAGAGTAAAAGTTTTTACTATCCTCATTTGATGGGTGGTATGGCCCTTCATGGCTCCCAGGTTTAGAGTTCGAGGTCAGTTCCAGCTTTCCAGGAAGTCTGAACTTCTGATAAGCTGTTGTGTATAATAGGTTCACCTTCCCCTGGAGTCTTTATCTTTAGTTAATAGTTAGCCTTTTGTATTTTCAATTTCCTCTCTCTCTCTCTTACTATAATTAGAAATGTCCTTTACTTCCTTAAAATTTTAGTTAGTATTTTGTGTTCTTATTACCTCTGTGTGTGAGATAGGAGGGGAAATTGCCCTGTCAGCCCTGTCTGCACGATTGTCTAGAAGGTAGTACAGGTTTGAAGTTTCTACCAATGGTAATTTATTGATCAATAAATAAAACATTAGGTTGGAACCCGAAGGCCAGAATCAGGCATTCAAAATCAAGCATGTATTTTGTGCTGGGAAGTGATTAGGAGAAAAACAAATCTGTCTTCTTGCTCCTCTCCCTAGTGGGAGATTTGAAATTTACATTCTTTTTGAACATAGTATGTGGGTAAATACGAATTTTACTTATTTGCACAACCTAATTTAGTAATATTTGGACTTATTAATTAATGGTGATTAGTGGTATAAAAGAGTTAGTGCAAGTTATAAAATGATCTGACAATCATTGATTATCAAAGCACAGTTTTTTTAGTATTAATTTGGAGGCATTATTTTCACTCTCATTTAGATCCAGATCAGAAAGCAGCAGCCAAACGGATACTAGCAGGTATGTAAATTAGGAGGTATATCTTACAATATGTTTGTGTTATAAGATGAACAAGATGAAAAAATTCATAATCAAAAATGAACTGCTAAGTATTAATTGAGTAGATACAATTGGTAAAGTACTACACCTAAAAACAACCTATTTGTATATACCAATCTAGTAACTAGTGATTTTTTTATAAATAATTCAATCTCTTCTTTCCTTCAGTTTAATTAATGTATACTGCGAATTTATTCTTGAGAAACAAATGAATAAATGGTTGAAGTGTTTAAGAAACTAACTCAAACAGGATCTTTTTGTATTCTTTATACTGGAGTATACTAATGGGAAGTGTATTAGTCAGTTTTGTTGCTTATAACAGAATACCTGGAACTGGATGATTTATAAGGAAATAAAATTTATTGCTTACTGTTTCAGAGGCTGGAAAGTCCACAGTCCAGGGAATATATCTGGCAAGGTGACTGTACAGCAGTACTGGGTGTGACACGGCAAGAACGGCAGAGCAGAAAGAGAGAGCAAGCTAACCTCCTCATTGGCTCTCCTTTTAAAGCCCTCAGAATCATGCCCATGACCACCGTTACGTTGTCAATTGGATTAATCCATTTACTAGGGCATAGTCCTCACAATCTAATCACCTCTTCAAGCTCCCACCATTCAATTACCATAAAAGGACTTTCCATCCTCTTAACACTGTCACAGTGGGGGTTAAGTTTTGAATACATGGACTTTGGGGACACAATTCAACCCACAGCATTCTGCCCCTGTCACCCCAAATTCATGTTCTTCTCACAGGTAAACACGGTCATTCCATCCCCAAAGTCTTAACTTGTTTCAAATCAAAAGTCGAAGTCTGTAGGTCCCATCTGTGAAATCCAAACAAATTATCTACTTCCAAGATAAAATGGTGGAACAAACAAAGGGTACATATTCCCATTCAAAAATGGAGACATAGGGCAAAAGAAAAGAGTAACAAGTCCTAAATAAGTTGAATTCCAGCAGGGTAGGCATTAAATCTTTCACCTCACAAATCATGCACATTGACTCCATGTTTGATGTCCTCTGCACATTGTTGCGGGGGTTCGGTACCGAGTCCTCAGGAAGCTCCACTCCTATGGTTTTCCTGGTCTCAGGTCATGATTTAGCTTTTCCAGACTGGAATTACATACTGGTAGGTCTACCATTATTAGTTCTCCATGGTTGTCCTGCTCTCATGGCTCCTCCATTGGACATGGGCTTGGTGTGGTTTTTCTGCCGCAACTCTGATTCCACATTTCTGTTTGGAATTGCTTTAGCAACAGCTGTTTGTGGTGACTCCACCCATGTGAAAGATCTTTTCCTGGGTCCCCAGGCTTTTTGATAGATCCTTTGAAATTTGGGGGTGGCTCTGGCATTCTGTGAGCTCACAAACTTAACACCATGTGGATATCACTAAGGCTTCCAGCTTGTACATTCTGAAATTGCAGGTCAGGCCACACTTGGAGCCAATTTAGCTACACTGGCATTCTGTGAGCTCACAAACTTAACACCATGTGGATATCACTAAGGCTTCCAGCTTGTATATTCTGAAATTGCAGGTCAGGCCACACTTGGAGCCAATTTAGCTACATCTACAGCAACAAAAGTAGCCAGGGTGCAGGGACCAGCATCCCTAGGTGGCCCTAGGGAGCAACCCCATGGAGGGTGCCTCGGGCCTGTTCCCTGAGACCATTCTGTCTCTGAAGGCCTCTGGGCCTGTGATGGGAGATACAAGCTCAAAGATCTCTGAAATTCCTTCAGAATCTTTTTTCCATTCTCTTGATAATCCCTTTCTTCTGTACTAATCTCCTTAGCAAATGGTTGCTGGGCTATACCCTTGCTTTCATAACCAGGATGAAAGTTTTCCACTTTTTTACTCTCTGTCTTTTGAATTAAAAATGCTGGCTTTATGTTATGCCTTTTCTGCCATAACTCAGAGTAGGCTGTTGCAAGTAGCCAGGCAGCTTCCTGAATGCTTTGCTGCTTAGAAATTCCTTCCATCAAATACTTTCGTTCTTAACTCTCAAATTCATCCCATAGAGCTCTTGCGCATGAACAGAACATAGCCATGTTCCTTGCCATTTCATAACAACAGTGATCTTTGCCCCAGTTTTCAATAAGTTCCTTTTCATTTACATCTGAGGTCTTCTCAGAATGGCCTCTACTGTCCATATTTCTATTAGCATTCTGGTCAGCACTATTTAACCAGTCTCTAAGAAGTTCCAAACTTCCATCTTTTTGTCTTCTTCTGAGTCCTCCAAACTCCGCCTACCTTTGCCTAACACCCAGTTCTAAAACTGCTTCCACATTTCCAAGTATTTGTTATAAGCAACACCCCAATTCTCTGGTCCCAATTTTCTGTTAGTCTATTTTTGTTGCTTATAACAGAAATACCTGAAACTAGGTAATTTATAAAGAAGCAATATTTATTGCTTATAGTTTCAGAGGTTAGGAAGTCCAAAGTCCAGGGAACATCTCTGGTGACAGGCTTGTTGGTTGGTAGTGACTCCACAGCAAAGCAGGGTGGCACATGGCAAAAATGGCATGGCAGAGAGAGAGAGAGAGAGACAAACCTCCTCATTCACTCTCCTTTTAAAGCCACCAGAACCACTCCCATTATTCCAAGAATGGATCAATCCATTCATGTGGGTACAGTCTTCACAATCCAGTCACCTCTACAAGGCCCCACCTTTCAACTACCACAATAGGATTTATCACCCCCTTAACACTGTCACTGTTGGGACCAAGCCTCAATAAGTTTGAAGGGATGTCCAATCCACAGGAGGAAGTTTACTTCTTTATTTGGAGAGTCTACAACCAGAAACTCAAAATAAGTGTTTGCAAACAACTGAGTGAGTGCTTACCTAGGTCACTGTGGAGGAATTTTCTGAAAAAAAAAAAAAAAAAAAGTATCTGTGGAGATCCTAAACGTTTCTATTTTGAAGGTTTTTTTAAAAAAATATTATCCATTGCTCTTGATGTTTGAATTTTTTGTTTTGCTATGCTGTGGCTGTGGACATTAAACATAACAGTAGTTTGTAATTTTAGATTTGTAAGCTCACCCTCAGAGGCAACAATCCTCATGGAAATTCTGCATACCCTGAGTTATAGAGGCATACATTGGGAGGAGGAGGTTGTTTTGTGTTTAACTCTCCTGGGGCATGAATGTTGCAATATTTTCCGTGCTTGCTGGTTCATATTTGTGGGTAGTGAAATTGAGCAATGGAGGTTCTGCCCTAATACCTGGGGCCGGGGGTTTCTGTATCTCTGGGTGATCCTTTTTTGTCCACATGGCTGAGATAGTTCCCTCATTGCATTTCTGAGTCCAGTTGTCATAGCTTTAATTAACTGCATTCAAGACTACCAGACTTGGGCAAAACAGCTCTGTTCCAGCTTTTTAAAATGTAAAGATCCATGCCCTCAATGTTTTTAAAGTACGATTATTAAAATCACGCCCCTTAGATATAAATAATTCAGCTTTATCTCCTGGTTGTTTCTTCATTTTTGTACTGATAGATGTAAAGTCTTTCTGGCTATCAATCTCATTGTGTCTTAAAGTTTTGTGCTGTTTTCTTTAGCTTTTATATATGTGTGAAAGAGGGGAAGTTTTACTACCAGTTCAGTCTGTCAGATTGCCCAGAAGTAAATGTGAGTTTTAATTTATAAAATGTGGCAATTTATAAATCAACAAATAAAAAGATAACTTGGAGCCTGAAGGCCAGATTTAGGCATTTAGAGTTAAACTCATATTCTATGCTTTGAAGTGATAAAAAAATATTCTCTGCTATCATGATACTCTTCCCCACTGAAGAATTTCTATTTTGTGCTATATGTTGTATTTGCTTTTTGGCTAAACAAGAATGCTACTTATTTGCATGCCCCAAGTGTTTAAAGTGTTAGTTTTGGTATAAAATGGCCTGCTCTTTATTCTCAAAGTAGGAAAGTTTCTTAGTATTAACTTCTAGACATTATTTTTATTTTTATTTGGCTACAAGTCAGAAGATAGTGCCCAAACACATACCAGTAGGTAAGCAACTTAGGAAATGTTTCTTTCTTTTTGTTTTTTTGTCTTTTTTCGTGTCCGGCAACGGATCACAACCCTCAGTGTTGCGCCCATACCGGACCGGGACCGGCAACGGGATCGCAACCCTCGGTGTTGCGTCCGCACCTCGCTCAGCCAGTGAGCAGGAACCAGTCTGTATGTGGGATCCGAACCCTCGGCGGGAGCGCCGCCGCGCTCCCAAGCGGCGCACTGTAGCAGTGCGCCACCAGGCCAGCCCAGGAAATGTTTCTTTTTTTTTTTTTGTCTTTTTTTGTCTTTTTCCGTGTCCGGCAACGGATCGCAACCCTCAGTGTTGCCCCCATACCGGACCGGGACCGGCAACGGGATCGCAACCCTCGGTGTTGCGCCCGCACCTCGCTCAGCCAGTGAGCAGGACCCAGCCTGTATGTGGGATCCGAACCCTTGGCGGGAGTGCCGC